TCACTTTTTTCAGTAACCGAGCAAAGGACATATATTTCACAAAAATAATTTTTTAACATGCTTAACGTAGGAACTGTATTGGTACTTGTATTGTATAAATACTTTGTTGAATAAACCTCTTTCTGAAGACAGCTGCACAGCGATTACTCATGCTCTCTACAAGTTTGTTGACCGGATATTCAGCCATGGTCTTGTCCTTGAGTCTTTCAAAATTTGTGATATGCTTATTCCTTCAAAATAGTTTTAGAAAAGAGTTAATAAGTTCTTTTTCGGACGATCTGCAGGCAACTGTAATGAATAACTTCATTTTTAACTGACCCTTGGTCTTCAAGCAGGGGCGCTAAGAGTTACTGCGCGCATGAATATTTTCTGGCGTTTCAGTGAGTTTATGAGTGAAGAGGACAATGATGAAAAATGACGACTTATTATGCTGTTCGCTAAAAAATGACGGGTTTTTGCCACTGGCCTGGGAGTCACCCGAAACCAAGACAGTGTCTTTGATTGTCTTAAAATTTAGGCGAAGCACAGGGCTGGTGGGATTCTTTCGTAAGTAATGAAGGGTGAAGAAACAGGCGTTGTCAAAGGCATTTGAGCGCAGTATGGTTTTTTCGGAGAAAAAGAGTTCCACTGATTTGATTTTTAGGCTGGGTATTTTTCATGCGTCAGTCAATTACTAACTTTTTAAAACCAACTTTTTTGAAGCCGTTTTAGTTTATTTTAGACCGTACGACAAAGCATGGCCTTTGACGTTCAGAATGAAACCACCAAAAAGCGTTCATTTTTCTGCTAGATATTGCATCCATTATAATTGAAAAATACGTATTATTTTGTCTTTGCAAATATTTAATGTTTCAGTGGCTTCTGGTATTTTTGGAATTCAAGATTCAGCGGCTTTCCAGGAGTCTTTTCTTTTTAGCCAGAAGATTTGTGAAGACCAATCAGCCAGTTGCGAAGCTGAAAGAAGTTACAAAGAAGTGTTATTTTTCTCAGGTTTTTTGACGGCTTGGCTACTATCAGAGTATAACTTTTAAATTAGGGAAGCTAAGAAGTTTATTTTGTTAATTCATCGCACTGGAAATCGTCGCCTTTCAAAATCAACGAAAGTCAGCTGGTTACAGTTAAATCTGGCTGATTTAAGTGGAACTGGAGCTTGCACCGAAAGTTGATTTGAATCTCATAGGATCCTGTTCTGAAATTGAGCGCTTTTGCAGATCATGAAGTTTTTGGAAATTGAAAGTCAGTTTTACAGTTTGTTGGTGGGTTTGTAGGTTATATTTTCAGCTTTTTACTGATATTGTGGAAATCGGGTTTACACGTGTACTTTTGTTTCGAGACTGGATTTGGATCATAGCCGTTCAAAGCAATACTCGTGATCAATATTGAAAATTAGGTTATGGATTCTGCGATCAAGTTAGGGGGATCGAATAGATATTACTTTTGCTAAAATTTTAAACTGTCTAAAATGAGCGACGCAAAAAGTTCTACGGGGTTTAAATTTCAGTAAGTTATTTAGCTTTGAGTGCTCTGTTAGTTGTATACCGTTTGAATATCAAGTAGTTGTTTAGTTTATAGGAGACCTTTTATATTTCAAAGTTTATTACTTTAGCATATTATATATATATATGGGCCATTCCACGTCAAATCGCACA